ATTTAGTGGTGATTTGAAGTGTAAAGTTCGGAATTTTAGGTTGATTAGAGGAAGGAAGTGATTTAGCGATGAGCATGGAGAAAATGAGGACAAAGAGATTAGAGAAGATAATGAATATGCCATGATCTAAGTGAGTGTGTATGTTGATAATTAATTTTCGTTGGATATGTATTTTTTTATAACTTGTTTCAAAATGAGTAAAATTGGATAATATTTGAGGCCCAAGTAGGTATATTGAGTATTTTTCTCGTATTTTCTTTTCTTCTAGTCTTCTCTTTTTATCCATGTAGCTTTCTTTACCCATTATATACGCATTCATAACTTGGCCGTTCATGAAAGAACTATGGCATATTATGAAACTTATCTTTTTAGATAAACCCATAAGAATGCATACATCCAATGCGAAGAAGAAGAACAAGAAAAAGAAATGCAAAGGAAAAAAAAAAATCTCTCTCTAGAATGGAATTTTCTCTTAGTGAAAGCCGAAGATGCCAAGAAAATCAAAAGTTGGAGGGAGATGGTAGGAAATAGAGGGGTCGATTCCAATTACCCAAATAGGAAAAAAACAGAGCCACGATGAAAAAAAAAATTTGAAACGTCAATGAAATCCAAGAGATTATCCAACAAGAGAGGGTTGCTCAGATGATCAGCGCCCCCACCTACAACTTCAGGGTCGTGGGTTTCAGTCACCAAAGGAGCAATAGCTCGAACAAAGGGATCAAAGAGGAATAAAAAAAAACAAGGGATTATCGAATTAGGGTTGGATCAGGGTTCAACATCAAACACGCCTCAATAGAATTCTGTATGGATTAGGCTTATGGGACTGGACATCAAATATTAGGAGAAATCTATACTGATGAAAATTACTAGACTAGTAGGTAAGCTACTCAAAGCAGATAGTACTCCGACTCACAAAGAGAGATTGACTTATGCAAGAGTGCTTGTTGAGGTATCACTAAATCAAGCTTATCCCTCAATTGTCATGTTTGAAATAAATATGAAAAATTATTAACCAGAAAGTAATATACGAATGGAAACCAACCCTTTGCTCAAAATATAAAATTTTGCGCACGATGTTAAGGAATGAGAAAACAAATATTAAAAAGGAGGCAGAAACTAAACAGAGAGAAGAAGCACAACAATAACAACAAAAAGCAAGTATTGATAGAGAAAACATAATAGGTAGGAAGACAAGAAGTGGTGGTGGGGGGGGGGGGGATAGGTATGGAAGAAAGAAACAACAGAGAGAAGGACAACAATGTGAGGGTAAACCTAGTTTGGTCAGAAAAAGATCAGTTGTAACTAAGGAGCATAGTATTATTGGAAAAGCTCTAACAGACGGGATTGTGAAGTTCTTTACTTCCAACAAGTTGCTTATAGTTATAAACAAGACAGTAATGACCCATATTCCAAAAGTACACGTGCAGAGAATGTTGGTGATTATAGGCCTATAACGTGTTGTGATACTATGCACAAAATAATATTAAATGTAATTTGTAGCAGATTAAAGTTGGTATTTCTCGTGAGACTATAAAACAGAAAGAGGACAATAAAGAGTTGTTTGATAAAGAGTGATCTTAAGAACACGTACTTGTCATTCTATCAAATGGGAATTTGTGGAAGAAATGATGCATTCTTTGAACTTCTCGCCAAAAATTTATCAAGTGGATCATGAATTGTATTTCAGTTCCTCAGTACAAAATTGCATTAAATGGAAGAATATATGGATGTATTGAAAGAAAAGGGGATTGAGACAGGGAAATATGCTATTATGAGTTATTTGTATAGAGTACTTCACAAGAGTAATGAAGCTAGTGGCAAATCAAGAAGGCTTAAAATGCAAAGGGTTAAAACTTGGTCATCTACGTTTTGTTGATGATGTTGTGTTATTTTGTAAAGGAGAATTCCTGTCAATTAATTTGATATTGGAATATGTCAAGACTGCTCGTGCACTCTTCGTGGGATGGAGTCAAATTAAATCAGTTGAACATCTATTTTATGAGTGCAAATTCTCTAGAAGGTATCTTGAGGATATACTCAGTTGGGTGAACATCAACATCAGAAATACAATAATGCAGGGATTATATATGGCGTAGGATGACAAGGAATGTAAAAGGGATCGGAGACTTAGCAGAACCTTTGTGATGCCACTGACTTACCTCATTTGGAAGGCAAGAAATGAGGCACTATGGCACACAAATGGTGTCAAAGAGGAAAGCAAATTCAAGTACTAGAAGTTGTACATAGGAGAAAGGGCGTTAGGAATAGAGCTTGGATAGAGGAATCTCTTTATATATAGCTGGAAATTGGCAAGGTGATGTGGCGCCTTCCAATGCCCAGCAATTGTATTTATCTATTATCTCCTTTTTTTGGCATTTTTCCTTCACTCTTCTCATTAATTATTAAAAAATACAGAATAAATAAAAGACCAAATAGCCATTGAAGAAGCTCAACAGTTTCTAACAATCAAAAGTTCTACTAATATTTATACCTAAAAACATTATGCTTTTTGTAACAAAAATTTCATTGGTAGGTATTAACTGGGGAATGAATAATAATTATGAACATTAACAACTATTCTATCAATATTTTCTTATAAGTCATAGCTCTCATTAGGAAATGGCATTCTTCTTCGAAATTATTGAAGCAAAAATTGGTCTCACAATCCAGATGAACAAGATCTGGAGAAGAGCATGACAATTGTGTGAAATCAAATCTGAGGTAAAGGAGGAGAGATCTGATCAAAATGCTAAAATCAGAGCGGAGATTTAGCAGCGGTGTATTCTCCTCACAACATTCTTGGTGATATTACATGTGATCAGTAATAAGATTGTATAATATCATGTCTCATAAGAAAATCTTCTCTCTGTACTCTGCTATTCTACCCTTTCTTTAGTCTTTCAATTGAATTTTTGGACTATATGCTTACTCTACTTTTCTTTGTTATGAGTTTTATACGGAAGAAGATGGTACATGTTGTACATGATAAAAATATATTTTCTGAGACGCTAGAGCATTATTAGGATGCTTTGCCTGTGGAAGAAAAGGAGATTTGCCTAAATTTAAAACAATTATTTCAAATTTATCCAAATTAGTGGCGGGTGATAAAGGGAAAAAAGAAAGAAAACAAAAAAAAATATTAAGGAATTAAATCAAAAGAATATCTCTAATTAGTATTTAGTAGAGTAAATCTTATCATGCATTTATTGTATTTTACGGCTTTTTTTTAATATGTGTTTTACTTGTGAATGAATACTTAAACAAGTGTAAGACCTACAATCCAGAATTACCAAAAAATCTTATTCTATACACGTTGTCTATGCATTGAAATTTGAAAGAAAAATCTATGAAAGTGTATGAAATAGGCTTCCCATGTTTCATTTTAGTTTCTTCCGATTTTAGCCTATGTAATTATTCGTTAGTTGTTTTTTTTTTTTATAATAAAAAAAGAGTAATCTTATTAATCAATCATAAGTATAATTTTGTGTGTTCCCATCGTCTCCGGATTATGCTCCATAAGAAGTGACCGGCTGCATTTCGCTTGATCCCGAGGAAGACGTATCTTGATCAATTCGACATCGAGAAAGGCATTGTTTTATGCTTGATCATTTTGTGAATATTTCGAATTTATGAAATTTTTGAAAAGGTTTTTTTTTTATGATTATTCCAAAAGTTTATAGAAATTTCGAGATGAATTATTCTTTAGTGGTTATGATTAGAATTCAATTGCAAATACCAAATAGAGTAGTTCATATTATTACAATTTCTAGATTGTTTATTCATGAAAAAGGAAAAAAGAAGTAAATGGGGTTTGGAACTTTCTTATGTTTTATATAGATTGCTTATTTTCTTGTGTTCAATGATATTATATGAATAAAATTGGAATTTCTAACATATCGAATTGGTTAGATAAGACACACTTAATTAAATTAATTATTTTTAAAAACTTTCAAGAAAAAATTAATAAGATATATGCACATTTATATAAAAAAATATTATGTATAAAAATATATGTCCACAATTACACTTATATAAGTAGTAAGAATATAGTCACATATTTATAAATAAAGATGGAGTTCCAAAAATTATGTCAAAGTTTGGAAATAAAGGAACACTTTTTCCTTTTCAATAAAAAAAAACAAATGTACGCTAAATAGACAGATCAACGTCTCAAAAGAAATTTTCTTTATAAATATTTAAGTAGATTAAAAATATACAATTGAACTTTCGGCTATTTATAGTGTTCATATATTAAGATATTGATTTTATTATTACTATGAGGATTTTTTATAATCGCGCGAAGCGCGAATATTTTCCCTAACTATATAAAAAGAATAGATTATATTTTTGCCGTTTTGGGACTGGACTAGAGATGGGGGCCTACCTGTAGGCATTCCTAATCTAGCGAGTCTTGTTAGAGTCCTATACTGTATTATGTTCGTGGTGATTAGTAATTTTTTTTTGCTCTTTCACAAAGAAAAAGAAGATTAGGAAGAGAAAAATTAAGAGAGGTAAGAGCAAAATGGAATAGAAAGAAAGCGCAAATGAAATGACATGAAGTGACTCCGAACGCTAAAAAAAAAAAAAACTTAATTACCAACAAAAATATCGAGTCTTACGAATCATCAAATATCTGTACCGAAGACAAACTTGGATAAAAAAAAAATTTAGAGTGAGAAACTCTGCCTTCTCTCTAAAAATCCATATCCCACATCAAGAAATCTTCACTGAGTTCCTACATGTCCCAACAGACCAACCAAATTGCCACCCCTCCTAAACCACCGGACATAAATCCTCAATTAATGCTTATGGGTACTAAATCGCCCTCCTTTAAGGAGAAACTAGTGACCAACGAAATGGAAAAAAATATTTCCATAGTTTCATCACCATCCCATCAAACTTCTATGGACATTAATTCTACTTCTGACAATGACGCTTCCCCACAACTACCTCAACATGATCATAATTATTTTGTACCTATTACCAGACAAACAAAGGATTTACTACCCTTGGAGACACTCTGTCATAATTAAATTGCAAGGGAAAAGAATCTCATGCGACGTTTTAAAAAAATTAATGGACCTATGGAAACCAACTGAATCCTTTCCATTAATTGATCTAGGTGAAGATTATTAGATTGTACGTTTTAACAAGGAGGAAAATATGATAAACTCCATTCAAAAAGGACCATGGTTTATCTACGGACACTTTCTATCCGTTCAACGATGGGTTCCTAACTTTGTAGCATCTCAAGCTACACAATCGTTCACAGCAATCTGGATCCAGCTACCTCAACCTCCCACAGAATTCTACGATGGAAAAATCCTTCAAAAAGTGGGCAGTACAATAGATAGACTATTGAAAATAGATGCTTGCACATCAGCAGCACTCCGTGGACGATATGCGCGTCTATGTGTAGAACTTCCATTGGACAATCCGGTGATTCCTTTCATCTTCACTGGATCTCACAAGCAGTATATACACTATGAGGGTGAGAACTTGCTGTGCAAGAATTGTGACCACCTAGGACACTCCATGAAACAATGTTCCTATGCCAAAACTAGTCAGACGCCAGAAGAGTCCAAATCTGGGATACCAAAAATAAATCTTTTGCAAGAAAAACAAGAAGAAGTTTGGAAGACTGTCTCATTCAACAAAGGGAGAAAGAAGAATTCCACAAAATCACCTTCAAACTCTTTGGAAAATTCGCAAGAATCAGGTATTAACGCCAATATTTTTTAGGCAAAATCGGGTAAGTTTCTAACTACTCAAAAATTTATGTATAAAAACAAGCATGCTTCCAATCCCCCAGTACCTCTCAATAATTTAGAGCATACTGACCTTAACATTAAAACCAAAAACCACTTTTGTTAATTACTAATAATATAAAATCTACAAAAGAAATCTTGAGGGACTCACTACCTACCCATAATACAAACCCCATCTCCCCAGTAGACGACCCCACCACCCTTAACCACCTATTCCCTCACAAACTAAATAATAATATTCCCCTAATTAACAGGATCCCCCCCCCCCCATCAAGGACTCTACTAATCCAGCCCATTTCGACCAAAACACGGCAAAATAATATATTTCCATTAAACCAAACTTGCATGCGCCAACTGACATGGAACAGTTGGCATGTTCCAACACAACCAATGAACAAATGTCCAATACAATTTCCCACGTAGCAATAACCCAATCCCCTCCACTGCAAATCTCCAATAAATATACGCTATCCCAGTCGAATTACATGTAAAACAAAAATCCAATCATTGAAAACCTAGAAAGCTATTCCCTTTCCCCAACAACTGATCCTCTATTACACATAAATTCACCTTCAGTAGGAAAGAATGCCAAGAATCCCCATTTATGTGAGGAGACGTTATCGTCTACTACAATTACAAAGAATCAACCCACCTCCAAACATGGCAAACAATGTATTCCCACCACCACAGAATCCGAACCAACAACCAAGAAGGATTTTCGTTCAACCTCCACTTCCACAGAACCATCAACCAATGTCGTGGGTGGAGATGGGGTAAATGGGACATGCAATCTCATTCAATATCATGCTGGAGGGGAGGGAAACCATAATAGTCCTACAAAACACACACTACCTTGCACAACACATCTCCGAGGGTGTTCGTTTAGCAATGAACAACTATATCAATCAAGCGTGGATAAACAATGTCCTAACTCCAATTGCTCCAAACCTAACTACCAATCTTACTCATACCATGAGGGGGGAATGGAATCTTCCACCACACTTTGTTCCAATCCAGAGTTCAGCTCCAATAATGGATCTTCCATTTTTCACTCAAGATATTGTAACAAACATCAATCCAATCTTCACTCCTTAGAATGCACATGGAGACCATCCTCAAACCTCAAATGCACACGCTGCACAGAACATGCAAATCCCACAACCTCCACGGAACCAAAATCTAAATCAAATGGAACACGCTATGGAGGAAGAGGTAGACCCCGTTAACTTAATTCCCCAAAACCTAGTCGAGGATTCAAACCTCAACGAAATAAAAAAAATTCTATTCACGGAGATGCAAGAGCAGAAGCAGATTCTCTAGTGTCCAATGGCACTTTAAAAGTGCACAATGGACATATGGCCCCCAGGGGACCCATCGGTGGGGAACCATGCAATGATACTGGTTCCTTTTTAGAGGAGGAATCCAGTCCATGCACGCAGGGTGAGGGAGAATGTGGATCTTCACAATCCAACCTTCAACATGAATAGATCAACTACCTTCATAATTTGGAATAAGGGGAGGATTTTAGGTTAAGTTTCAGAGATTTGGTTGAAACACACCACCCCAGCATGGTCACTCTCCGAGAGACCAAGATGGATAACCATCTTCCTCTTCTCAACCCTTTGGCTTCTCTGACATGATAGAAATCCCTGCGGAAGGTCAAGCAGGAGGAATGGTGATTCTTTGGGATCATACCAAAGTCAATGTTCATAGCTTCGTTCGTAGAAGCTAGGAGATAAGTGCAACTATAGAGGTAATTTCTCTCCATAAAACTTGGGTATTTACTTCTATCTATGCTAGTACTGATAGGAAGCTTAGGAATAAAATATGGAATAACATCTTAGATATGCACACTGCCATCAAGGGGCCTTGGTTAATGGGTGGTGATTTTAATGATGTTCTAGCCTCTAATGAAAAAAATCAGAGGGAGATGTATCAATAATAGAAGATCTAATCTTCTCTGGGACTGTATTAACACATGCAACCTAATTGACCTAGGTTTTAAAGGGTGTAAATTTACTTGGTCTAACAATAGGAAAAAAAATAAAGGTCTTATCATGGAAAGGCTAGATAGAGTGTTTGCAAACGAAGAGTGGATTAATCTCTTCCCAGAAGCTATAGTAACTCATCTTCCTAAAACACATTCGGATCACAATCCCCTATTGATAGAAATTACCCCTAAGAAAAATGCCTTGTTAAAAAAACCATTTAGACTAGAAACTTTTTGGTGTCGTCATCCGGATTTTGTTAACTTAGTAAAGGATTGCTGGCATAATTCCAACTATGCTCAAGGCTCTAATACCTTCCTAGACAGAGTCAAAAATTGAAGTAATAAGCACTATGGAGACACTTATAGGAAAAAAAAGGATAATGACTAGGCTCAAGGGTATCCAGTTTTCTAGAAATTACTCCACTAGTACCTTCCTCCAAAACCTAAAAACTAGGCTTCAAAAAGATTGTAATGACATCCTTAGAATAGAGGACGACTATTGGAAACTTAGGGCCAGAATTTCTTGGATTCAGGAAGGAGATGAAAATACCAAGTTTTTCCACATAGCAGCCACTAACAAATCCAGGAAAAATAGAATTACTTATTTCAAAGATAATTTAGGAAATTGAACTAATGAACCGGCCCAAATTTTTCAACACACATTAGATTTCTTCCAAGACATGTTCAAAATCGACCATTCTTTAACTAATTGGTCAGAAATTAGGAACCACCCACAATCTTTCACTAATATTGGTCTCACAATCCTTGATAAACAATTGTCTCATAATGAAGTAGTGAAAACAATCTTTTCCTTTAAACCCTTTAAATCACCAGGCCCAGATGGTATACACCCTTTTTTTATCAAAAATATTGGGTCATAGTAGGTCAATCCGCTATTGACCTTTGCACACAAGCCTTCCAATCTCAAACTTTTCCTCCTGAAATTAACAACACTTACATTTGTGTAATTCCTAAGGTGCCTAATGCTAATAATTTTAAAAACTTTAGACCCATAGGCATGTGTAATACTATTTACAAAACAATTACAAAAATCCTAGCAAATAGGGTTCAACCTCTTTTACACCATATTATTAGCCCCTTCCAATCCAGTTTTATTAAAGGGAGACGAGCATGTGATAATGCTATTATAATCCAAGAAATAATCTCCCAATTCAAGAAAATGAAAGGAAAGAAGGCTCACATGGTTTTGAAACTTGACCTAGAAAAAGCATTCGATAGACAGGAATGGTCATTTTTCTACCAAACCCTATCATACTTTAAATTCAGATAATACGACTCATCATGAATTGCATTTGTACAAGCAAACTTGCTATTTTGGTCAATGGGGCAACAACCACATTCTTCACCCCAAGTAGAGGTATTAGACAAGGATGCCCACTCTCACCATATATCTTTATCCTGAGCATGGAAATGCTCTCACGTATAATCCTTCATCAAGTAGATACCTGCTTATGGGATCTCATCCGCTTAAACAATCGAGTCATAGGCATATCCAATTTATTCTTTGCAGATGACCTTACTCTAATGGCCAAGGCTGATAAAAAAAACTACAACACCATTAAACACTGCCTTAATATGTTTTGTAACCTATCCGGCCAAAAAATCAATCAAGACAAATCCAAAATTCTCTTCTCCAAAAATTGCCCATTGGTATCTGCCAAGGAAATAGCTTATGACTTCAATATCAAAATAAGCCAATCTTTTGGAAAATACCTATGCTTTCTCATCCTAAATAAATATCCCAAAGTGCCTGATTACCAATTCATCATCGACAAGATGCGGGAAAGGCTCTCCACATGGAAAAGAAAATTTCTTAATATGGCGGGAAGAACCACCCTAGCCATAGAAACTTTGAATTCCATTCCTAATCATGCTATGCAATACACCTTTCTTCCTACTAAAATTCACAAGCAAATTGATCAAATACAAAGAAACTTTATTTGGGGACCCACTAATGAATATGGGTGTGCATTCGATTTACCGATTCTTTTTTGACCCTTATCGATAATTACTTGTCGATTATCGATTTGTACATATGCTTATCGTTATCGTTTCAATAAGGTTTCGATTTTTTCGATTTCGATTTATCGATTTTTGGGGCTTATCGATTGGTTATCGATTACACCAATAAAAAAATTTGCCGACTTCTACGGACAGTATATCGCTATAAACACGCCTAACTAATATGGACAAAAAGAAGCTAAAATAAGACGAACACCGTTTATAACATAAAAATTGTGTCAACAAACATGGGTAGAGGAAATAAAAGGGTTAGGGACTTAGGGTAAAGGAAAGGGTATTATAGAATAAGGGTATATTTGTCTTTTTAGTATAACCGGCACATTGAGCTGCCCACCACCTTTCTTACCAAGTTTAGAAATAGCTAACACTGCCGTATTTAATGTAACGCCATCACCAACCCCACCAAAGTCCGTTAAGTTTAACGCCATTGGACGGAGCTTAGGCATCTGCCTTACTGGAAAATTCCGCCGGAAAAACAAGAGTCTGGTAGTAACATCCCTTTGCCAATATAAAACAGAAAATATAAAGACGATCCAAAGAGCAGTGAAAACGGTTTTTTGGTTGGAGAATAGTGGAGGGATCCATCGATGTGGGTGGTGGAATTGAGCTCACCGCCATGTAGACGACAGTGTTAGAGTCTCCACCATTAGTGTAATAAATTGAATGTCAAGCTGGAAATAAGAGCAATGTTGTGCATGAAAATATAGTAGCAAAAACAATAATGCCAACTGAAATATCAGAAGAAGAAAAAAAGGAAAAAACTTGGAAGGCGAAGTGTAGTGGTCAGAATCAGTCTTATCGGTTTATCGATAAACCGATAACTGAAGAGGACAAAATCGAAATCGAAATCGATAACTCGATAAGGAAAATTTCAAAATCGAAATCAAAATCGATAAATCGATAAACCGATATCGATAAACCGATAACAAATAATCGATTTTATTTATCGATAAACCGGTTCGAATGCACACCCCTACTAATGAACGCGGAAAACATCATTTAATCAGTTGGAAAACCATTACTAAGACCAAAGACCTGGGAGGCCATGGCCTAAAGACTGCAAATTCAAAAAATAGGGCTTTACTATGTGGTTTAACATGGAGACTTCTAGCAAATCCTTCCTCACCCTAGGCAAACATGCTCATTCAAAAATATGGCAGTAACAAATCCAACAACACATCCTTCATTTGGAAAAGCATCCTCAAAGGATGGTTTTCTTGTAACAAAGGGATCCTTTGGCTTCCATGCCAAAACTCTAAATTAAACATTTGGGACACTCGTTGGATCCCTCTTTTACCATCATTAAGGAACTGTATAGAAGGTCCTCTTCAAAAAAAAGTGAACAAAATCTAGCAATAAAAGACCTCGGTGATAATGGAAAATGGAACTTCACAAAATTATCATTCAACCTTCCAACCTCTATTATGGACAACATAAAGTCAATCCCACGACCTCTAAATATCTATGATAAACCATTGTGGAGTATGAACAATAATGGTATATTTAACACTAAATCTTACTATGACCTAATAAACAATTGGCAAAGTAAAAGAGGTCACAACTTCAACTGGATATGGAAATTATATTTCCCTAATAAGATCAAATATTTTCTTTGGCAATGCCTCCATAATTGGCTTCCCTTTCGATCCTATCTCCATCACATAGGGATAAATATCGATCCTCAATGCCCCATATGCCAAAAATAGGGAGAAACAATCAATCATATCTTCCTCGAATGCCCAATTATTTCAAACATATGGAGATCCCCGGACATCAATAATTTTACAGTCAATACAAACAGCCATTGGTTTCTTAATTTAAAAGATCTCAATAACAACCATCAGTTTTTCAGTATCACTTGGACTGACCTACTTCCTTTTTTTACCATGGGGAATTTGGATTACTAGAAATAACAATAACATTAATAACACTCATTACCAACCCCGCCTTAATGATATTAAGAACCATGCTATAGAATATCACTTCCTTAATTCCACAGGAGTTACAACCCAAAACAAATTCCATATCAACATAAAGTGGCACCCTCCACAACAACACTAGTACAAACTCAATACAGATGGAGCCTTCCAAATAAGTGGTAATAAATCTGGCCTAGAGGGTGTGTTCAGAAACCACTTGGGTAACTGGGTAATGGGATACCAAAAGGCGGATTGTGCAATTTCACCACTTCATGCTGAACTACAGGCAATCCATGAAGGCCTTCAAATAGCAACAAAATTTAAATTGTTCCCACTAGAAGTGGAAACAGACTCTTTAGAAGCAATCAAAGCAATTTAACACGTCTACATTGTTTTATCTAACACTGTTCATGCATGCAGATTATTGATGCTCCAATAGAAGACCTACTCCTTCGGCATAATTTTCGTGAAGGGAATCAAGTGGCACATCTACTAGCAAAAGATGCAATCAAGAAGCAATACAAGTAGTACAACAGTGATAATCGCAAGCTCCATGCAAGTCCACCTTTTTTGTGATGCCAAAAATGTCAAAGGATGTAAATGGAGTCTATCATTCCAATAAGTCATTAGACACTACGGCATGTAATAGACTCAGGTCGTTAGGAAACCAGAACATAACTGGTGATGGACCACAAATGTGTGGCAAATTTTCAAGTACTTGTATTAACCCAAACAATTTCTAGTTTTTATATATAATATATACCGTTCACCATATCCGTGAATATAAGATATGGCATAGTGATGAGTCCACATCAAGAAGTTTAACTCTAGTCAATGTATACTATGTTTTTTAATACGAAGTTTTACTCTTGACTCATCCCAACATAGGGAATTTTAGCGCCTGGTGCAAGGTCGAGGGTACCGCCCTCATGTTGTGAACCCACAGCCTTCGGAATAGAGAGTTGTACCTCATGTCTCCTTCGATCACGTAGAACTTTGTATCTTGGATCATCCCGGCGGTGTTTACCGGCAAGGTTATCTCCCCTTTAGTGGTTTGGCATGCCATGTTAAATTCGTCAACACCCGGACTGCCGGCACGATTTGGTCCTGCAACCCCAATTACTCTGCAACCCTCGCTCTGATGATGTTGGTTGAGCTACCTAGATCAATCAACACATGTTTAACTTGAGATTTATTGATAAGTGCAGTTATTACCAGCGTATCATTGTAAGGTTGTACGATGCCATCGGCATCCTCATCGCTGAATGAAATGGTCCCCTCTAGAACATAATCTCGGGTGCGTTTTTCTCTTGTGATAGATACTTTAGTGCACTTTATCATTGGTCCTTGGGGGATATCGACCCCTACAATGATCATGTTGATGACGTGCTGAGGCACCTCTTGTTTGGCATGTTTGTTGCGTCCATATTCCTGAAGTGGTTTTTTGCTCGATCACTCAGAAATTCTCGGAGGTGCCCGTTATTGAACAACCAGACAACTTCTTCTCTCAATTGTAGGCAATCCTTGGTCCTGTGGCCATGAGTGCCATTATACTTGCACATCAAGTTGGGATCTCTTTGGGTAGGGTCGGACTGCAATGGTCGGGGAAACTTAGTTTCCTTGATGTGCCCGATGGCTGATATGATGCTGGAAGCATCAACGTTGAAGTTGTACTCTGATAATCTTGGTGTTTGCCTACCACCGAGCGGTCTGTCAAAATCATTTTTGCACATCAGACCTCTGCTACTGGGACCTCATCGCATCTCTTTTCATTCCTTGTGGGCTGACGCCCGGACCCATTATCCCTTCGATCCGCGTTGTATGGTTGGTATCGATCCTGGACTGGCCTTGGCTCATGATCGACGGCTCTCTTAGACCTGTCGTCGGCCCTGATTGGGTAAACAGACCTAGAAGGGGCTCCGAGTTGGTCGTCCTCGACTCTGATCTCTGACTGGTACCTGTTGTGGACGTCGGCCCAAGTTATCACTGGTAATCTACCAAATTTCGTTTTAGCTGCTGTATAGCCAAGGAGATTCGGGGGTTAAGTCCTTGAGTAAATGCCTAAATAGCCCAATCATCTGCGACCGGAGGCAGTTCCATACGTTCCATATGGAACCTCGACACGAACTCCTTGAGCATCTTATTGTCTCTTTGTTTGACTATGAAATGGTCCCATTTTCTGGTCTCGACCTTGATGGCCCTGGCCTGGGCCTTCACGAAAGCATCTGCAAGAGTAGCAAACAAGTCAATGGAGTTTGGGGGTTAGTTGTGATACCATATCATTGCTCCTTTGGACAAAATTTCCTCAAACTTCTTCAGCAACACTGACTCTATTTCATCATCTTCCAAGTCATTCCCTTTGATTGCGTATGTATAGGAGGTCACATGCTGATTCAGATCCGTGGTTCTGTTATATTTTGGGATATCGAGCATAGAAAACCTCTTTGGGGTCGTCTTCGGTGCCGCGCTTAGAGGAAAAGGCTTCTAGATAAACTTCTTGGAATCCAGCCCTTTTAATATCAGGGGTGCTCCTGGGATTTGATCGACCTTGGAATTGTATGTTTCCACTTTTTTGTCATTGGCATCAATTTTCTTTTCACCTGACTCCACCTGCTTCGTTAATGCTTCGGGAATTCTCATTATTTTGGGATTGACTCTAGGCTCAGCTTCACCTGGTCTCTCGGCGATCTGTTCATTCCTTCGGATATTTTCCCGTGATTGTTTAGGCTCAATCCTGCTGGGGGCGTGGCTTTGATTCTGTAGCTACACTATCGTCTCCTGTTAGCATGCAACATTTCAAGATTAACATTAGGCTTACCTCATCGCCTTCGCCTTCACCTTCGGACGCTTCTCGAGCTGTCGGTCGAAGTCCTCCGCGAATGCTATTTTCGAGGTCAGCTGGCAGATTGACATCGATGACCACCTATGAGTTAGTACCGACCGGATCGACAACTAGGACTCTGTTGGGGTCGGCAAGAGGCACCAGTTGATAGGCACCAGGTTGTTGTTTTCGCCATGATGGCCAGACTCAGCGTCAACGTTCAAGTGGGCAGACTGGAAATTTGACATTTTTAAACTGACATAAAATTAAAACCTTAAATAACAAGTGTAAAATAGAGTGTGTTATGGAGATTTGTATCAAATCACCACTATTATCCTTAACCCCACGGTGGGCGCCAAACTGTTTATGTTTAAAACGGATAATAATTATATTTATACGCAGTCTTAGGGATATGTAGATTGATTCAGCACAAATAGTCAGGGATGTTAGATAAACAAATTAAAGACGAAATGAACAATCAAACAAACTGTAACGTTGCGGCCCAGATCGAACTTAGGTTGAACAGTAGTTTTGCCCTAGATCGGACCCATGGTTCGAAGGCAATTGTGAATGAAGAACAAACAATAAAGTAAGGACTTTCCAATAGATAGAAAAATGAATTTGTATTGCCTTGGTTTTTGTGTTACAATTTGTGTTATCAAAGAAAAACTTCCCCTTTAGAGTTTCATCCCTAGTACAAGTCTAAAAACGGTAAAAATCATCCTCTCTCGATAATTTATGATCCGTAATTGTCATCGAGCGAGATCCACGCCATGATATTCGGTTGGTTACGGATATCACAACCCTCTATCTATCGCCTATAATTGTTCATTGTGCTTTTCGAAGTCTCAGAATTCATCTCGAATCCAGGGTACGTCGTTTTATCAGGTCGAATGGCGAGCACTCCGTTCACTTTTCACAGGCCTCGATACAAAGATTTCCCAGCTTCTATTTTGATCTCATATATTCATGCTCTTACTTCATTTAATTCACCACTAAATTGAGGTGTGCGTTATCCCCAATTTCACCTGTATACAGATAGTCCCCTTGTTTTTCAGAGAGTAGATTTGCCGAAACAATGGGAAACGATAGATGAACCCCCATTCCTTCCTTTGTATATTATAACCGAGGTGACGTGATAAGCCGAAATGTCCCGTCAGTGGGGTCGTTCTAACTTCGGACACGTGTCAGTAACCAGTTGGCTATGTTCGAATGTGAAACGCCGTGCATTGACTGTTTTTACCCAATAAAAGCTTCGACCTTTTGCATTTCTTCCACTTTCCGATCCTAGCTTTTACCTTCAAATTTTCTAAAGGCTCTTAACTTTTTTAAATCTTCATAACCTGCTTCTTGAGCCTTCTATCGTCATCACTGATCTTCAAACCTTCATATTTGTTCTTGGTTTCCAACCCAGATCTTCATATCTTCATCCTACCTTCAAACCTACATACTTGTTCTTCAATTCTTTATTTTTTCCTTTGAACCTTCATATTTTTTCTTCTAATCTTCATACTTCCCTTAAAATCTTCATACTTTCCTAGATCACGATGGCTAAAACTTCAAAGTCAGTGCCTCAGCAGGCTGCCCATTCATCTTCCCACTCGGACGTAGATGCCGACGTGGTCGCTCCCGAGGTAGCTCCAGAGCCCCCCGTGAAGAGCTTCATACCGGGGGCTACTTAGTCGGGGATGAATTCAAGGTCGAGAAGGCCTCTAGTAAACAAGACTGAGGTGAGGGATCATGGAGATACATATGCTATGTCACTGAAGAAACCCTACCCGTAGTCCGAGCGGACTGTATGTGGGAGGGGAAGGACGTGGTCATCCCCGGACCCAATGTTGATATAACTACTCACATGAAGGGGTATCTGAGTGTTTACACTTACCCTTTTCACGCTTGCCTCTGTGGATCCCGTGGTTCTTGCTTTCTGCAAGAGGTACGAGGTGTGCCTTGGGCAAATTCAACCATCCTTCTTGAGGATTCTGATCCTCTTACGCCATTTCGTAAACAATACCAAGCCTCCTCGGTTCACCCTCGACCACCTACTCCGCCTATACAGTCCCCGAATCTTTCGAAGGGGACTGATCAAGCATGTCTGCTGAGCAAGCAAGGCTCATTTCTCGAGCATTGACGAGGACTGAGTTCGAGGCTGGCAGGGGAGGTTCGTTCGGGTGAAAACCAAAGACCTGATCCCCCCTTCCCCCCTCCCCCCAAGTTTTTTATATTCCCCGAGGAATGGAACGCATCCCGTAAGTATTATCTTTCCGGGGTGTTTCTTCCTTTGTGTTCTTTTTCTCATAGCCGGTGTTTGTGGTCGTGCAGTTGTTGCCCAAGTTCCTGATGCGATCCCTCGATTAAAGGAGTGGATCAAAGAGACGTACTCCGAGCGCGCATGGTGCAATCTTTCGAAGGGCAAATGGGAGGCCCGTTCTCATGTGAGGTTCTTCCCTCAAATAGTTACCATCACGCTCTTAAATTATATAGTGCTAACCTTTTCTTTTTTCTTATAGGTCTGCCTAATACCACCGAACTTAGGCCTCTTGATGAGAACGATGATCCATCTTTGCCTGTCGTGTCCTCCATCTCAGGACAGCCCAGGGTTGCCACGAAAAAGAAGAAGAAGAAAAAGAGAAAGTCCTCGGGCTCCTCGGACCCCGAGGGGAAGAGGAAGAAGAGGGCGGCCAACAGGGCCCGGAAGCCCAAGAAGAATACCAAGTCCGTGGAACCGGACCCTGGCTATCCCTACCGGCTTAGGTATGATCCCGAAGAAGACAAAATCTTCGTCGCCCATAGATCAACCTTACTAGGTAGCAGGCAAGGATCGAGAAAGGAAACCACGAGGTTGATCCCCTTCTGGCTTGGGAACCTGAGGGGGATATGGAGGCTGCGACCTCCCAGGAAGCCGCTCATGTTTCGAAAAAGACGACTGGTGTCATTTACATCATAGAGACGC